TTCTTCTCGTTTATGCCATTAATGATTTGAATTTCCTTTTACACACGAAATTCAATCTGCCGACAAAATCACATTTTTGACATCGTATTTCATCAGATTAAATTCGTTATCAGGAAATAACTACCGTGCATGAAATTAAGAAAAGTGACAAGAAAAAAGACTGCATTTTTGTCAACAAGCAAATTGGGTTCAACCCTTTTGTTATTTGTATATCCTCTGATTTTCTCGAATGAAAATCCCAGGAATTAATTGCCATTTATTCAAAGGTTTGTGGGAAGTTTGTTTGCGATTTATTCATTTCCACAAGGCTCTAAAACTGAATGATCCCCTTTTGAAAGTTTCAAATTCATTACAGTCCTATAGACATTGAAGAACAAACTCAGCTTTGAAGGAATTTCGAAAAGGTCGAGCATGATTTTGTAATTCCATTTTTTGTTAGATTCTGATTGGCTCGTGCCACCTCGAAAATTGTGGGGAATGGACTGCTGGGGGACAGATCCGGCCCATGGGCCATATGTTGTGCAGCACTGCAGCTTATGGCAGTGTCACCCAACCTTTTTGGGCCTGACTGGCAAATTTCCATGAAATGTTTTGCAAACCAGCGATTTTCCAAAAAAATTTTTCGCAGACTTGGAATTTTTGCTTGAAAGACTTATTAAAAGAGCAGGGATTTAAAATTTTTTGACTGTCATTAAAAAATTGAGTCAAGAAACATTTAATTAGCTACTACAGTACATTGGAATGTCTTCAAAAATTTAGAAAGGTGGGCTTGAAAAGAGGTTTCTCAGAATGAAAAAATATACTAATTCATTTCAGCGCGTTTAGCCTTATGCAATTTAGCCTTATGCAATACGTGCAACGACGGCCTTTATCATAAAAATATTTCCGATTTTATAACAGCCTCGACAGTATTTGGTCCTCACTCGTTAAATCCCTGAAAAAGCGGCCAAAAACGAAGGTGAGGAATTTCATCCTGTTGAAGAGGTAATTCGTTTCAGAACTCACTTTGAAAGCGTAGCTCAACATTCCGAGAACATCGTCAGACGACAGGATCGATTTTTCGAAGACATCCATGCGGCGAGTTTCAAGAGCAATACCCAAAGCTTGTTTGAATTGACCGTGGTCGAAGCATCGTTGGAACATGCGGTCGACGATTTGTTCAAGTCTAGGATCGACGGGTTCATTGGGATTCATTGGACGAGAAATTGCATCCATCTTCCTTCCCCCGTCCAGGCCGCTCAAGGTGAGCATCACGGATTCCGACGGGATTAGCTCGGGATGTCCAGTTATTACAAAATTTCCGTCGTCGAAAGCTTTCCCAAGGGCTTTCTTCTCCTTCGCGATTTTCACAAGTCGGAGCTTTGTGTAATGATCGATGCATTTTGCTACGGAAGAATCAAAAGATTATATCAAAAGTTTAAAACATCAAATTTTCAAAGACTGCACACTTACCAACGATGGTGGTGACGTACTGAGATGAACTATTAACGTCGAATAGACCTGCAGCTCCCAAGGCGAAGTACAATGAATCTTGGTACGAACCAAGATGATAGAAAACTTTGCTCGCTACGAGCGCGGCAAGATTTCTATGGCTGAAATTCTTGTCTTCATATGGCACCTCACTAGAACAAAATCCGAAAACGATTTTGTCGGGAACTACACAAACACATTTCAAACATCTTACATTTTCTCGATGTGCTCCGAGATTTCGGCCCAAAACTCATCCACAACTTCATTCAACTTCTGAAGCGTGAAGACTTGAAGTTCGGGAACTGGCTCGTCTAACCAAGCCAAAATACAGTAAGGGATCCCAATCAGGACCCTTAGCAGCGACATCTGTCCTACGCCTCTGCAATCCTGAAACTCTACCAGTTCTCCCACCCTGATTCCGCCAGGACGCAGATGGTTATCACGATTAGCGGAGACGCGAGAGATGATCGAGCGATGGAATCATTGAGTTGTTGAGCTTTGACTGAGAAGGTTCTTTTTATGTTCTGACCGATATTATTGATGTGATTGTGTTGTGACGAGTCTGTGAGAGATTGGGAGATAGGACTGAAATAAAGTCTCCTGATCAAGTGACGCTGGCCGAGGACCAATTTATTAAACCTTACTATACCAGCGGCGGATGTCACGTGCATTTCCGCAACAAGAATTAGAGCACACTAACAATCTGGAAAGTCATGACGGAACAGGTCAGAATTTCACGAATAACTTAGATAACTTACACAAGAGAAGTACAGTTTTCCCCGAGACACAAGAGAACCATGAAGGTTTTGCGACAATAAACGACACAGATTAACACTGACACCATCTTTCTCAATCTTATGAAGGGAATAGTAAGGTCTTCAGGAACGGATGAGTCAGAGTTCACAAGAACATGGATGTATTTCTCTCAGGACAATAGACAAGTACACAACATACACAAGGTAAGATGGAGCAAGTGGTCAGATGCGAGGTTCGGTATATGAGTAACTGATGTACACTGTGTTCCTCCCTTATATACAGGGTCGATGGTCTTTGTCTTCTCCCCCCTTGGGGTCATGCAATGGTGCTTCTTCCTGTGTCCTCAGTCGGGGGCCTTGAGTTGGGTGACCCCTCCAGAAGCGTGGTCATTTGGCTCTTCCTTTATTGCTGTTTTTGTCGGGTCTTTGTGCTTGCTGTTTTTGTGGTGTTTTTCCATGGTCCATTGTTGTGTCTTATCTTGCGTTGGCATTGCTGATTGTAATCTGCGGTGCTTATACTCTCCCCCCCCCTGAAATAAGAGCAACTGACCCGGAATGACGTGTGTAAGAAATTCTCTTACATTCTCTAAAAATACCCTGCCACAAACTTTCTGCCCTGGCCATCCCGAAAACATTGCTAAACGGTCAAAAGATTATCACCCTGAAACTAGTCAGGTCCAGTTTTGTGGGCTATGGCTGGTTATGGGAGGTACCGAAAAATGTTGGGATTTGGCACAGGAAGAGAGCAATTTTGCTCTTTATAGACTTTTTGTATGGGTCATAAAGTTGATCTTCCTTGTTTGTGAACATGGACGAAAGAATCTCCACTTGCCCTTGTGCTGTGCTTTTCTTGTGCACTTTGCAAGTTTGGCGTGGACGGTTCCGAAACACAGCAAGGAGGAAAGATACTTAGACTCGATTTAGAATTTATTGAGAAATTATATTTTGATAGATAGATTTTTAGCCGCTAATTAGATTTGGGCTCTCAATGATTCTACTGGATTAATTAATTGCTTAGCAATTAATTAGGTATCTATTATATTATAATAACTGTTAGAAAATAATGATAGAATTGTCTGCTGTTTTCAATTTAATCAGGATATTCCAGAAATGATAATTAAAATATCATATTTGAAGTCTTTGAAGTCTGGATGTTTTTTTTAGTTTAAAAAAAATATGTTCTCATGCCGGGAATTGAACCGGGGCCTTCTGGGCGAAAGTCAGAAGTCAACCAGTAAACCTGGTTCAAAGTAAAGGCTTTAGAAGGCTTGTATTTGGGATCATTTTGTGACCTTTAATCTGATGTTATCTGATGCATCTGAGAGCATCACTTGTGTTATCAGCGATTATTATTTTTCTGAGCGATTTTTGTTTCTGAGTTCTACCTCATTTTCTGATCAGTATAACACCTGGCACCTGATCAATTATCTATTTACTCTGGGGAAAATCAATCACCCCCTATTAGTGATTGCGCAACTGCGGACAGTCGATCCGGGTTAAATCAAACCAGTGAAAAGTTTGAAAGATTTAAATTCTTTCAGACGTGTATTTAAGGCAGTTGTTGTCGGCGGTTTCATCAGGCAAGGTCCGGATGTTCGGCAGTGGACAGCCTGGCAATATTTGTGCTTGCATTGGTTGATGTTGTGAGCGGTGTATGAGTGGTCCGGTCCCTTGGTGTTGGCGGGTGGCGTCATTGTTTTCGGTGCGTGCTTTTCTTGTAGGCAGAAGAGTTGTTCAAAACCGTCGTGCGGAGGTCCCGGCGGATGTGGCCAGGGTTGCATTTCCCAGGCCCGTGCCTCATAGGTGTGTTGTCGGACTCCGATACGGTACAGCCCCTGGCCCTGGAAAGTGAGAACCATAAAGGGTCCAAAGCGTTGCTTATGAAATCGGCAGCGTGCTGCATGGTGGTTGGCACTCGTGGTCTGATTGTGACCATGTCTCCTGGCAAGAATTGAGGCCATTTGTGTTTGTTTGCTTGATCCGTGAAACGTTTGTGGGCTGCGTCATTGTGCTGTCAGACTTGGTGCTTGTGGTGTACCGTGCGTTCCGCCTGGATGTCAAATGTGCGGTCTGCGTTGAGGTTGATGGTGGTGTCAAAAAAACCTCGGCTGGGCATGCCCCCGTGGATTGATGTGGGGTGCGGTTGTACGCCAGTACGGAATTGGGTAAGTGTTTGTCCCATTTGTCGTAGTCTCCTTTCACCTGCTTGGCTTGAATTTGACCCAGTGTCCGGATTGCTCGTTCACAGGTGCCGTTGCCTTCCGGATGATACCCGTGGGCCAGATGTTGACGGCAGTCGTGCTCCTTGAGGAACCTGCGGAACGCTTTTGATTGGAACACTGCGGCGCAGTCGGAGTGGACAATTTGGAAGGCTCCCACTTGTTTGAAGATCTCTGCAAGGATGGGGATGGCTGCCGTCACGTCTGCTCGTGCAACCGGTTGTGCAATCATGAACTTGGAATAATGGTCCACGGCCACTAGCATGTATCGGAAGCTGCGTGTGGAATGTGGTAAAGGACCATAAAAATCCAGGGTGAGTTGTTCTCGAGGATGTTCGGCGATGATTGGTTCGAGGTGTGTGCCCGTGTTCTGCGTGCTTGCGTTGTATGTAAAGCAGGCACTGCAGTCGACCAGGTGTTTCCAGATGCTCTGCCTCATGTGGGGCCAGTAAAAACGCTGTCGGATAACGTCCAACACTTTTTTCCAGTGCGCATGACCCAGCTCGGCGTGATATGCGTCGATGATTTCTCACTGTTCTTGAGCCGTTGGTACGGCGCGGGTCTTGCTTTGGTTGAGTGTTATGCGGATTAGGGCGTTGGCGCATGTAGGGTTTTGCCCGGGCGATACTGTAGATTGCCCCTATAGGACCCCAACTTCATTTGTAGCTGGATCAGTCGCATTGTGCGTAATTCCCCCAGCAGGGGTTGATGGTCAGTCACAATGGTGAATTTGCGGTGCTCAACATAATGTCGGAATTTTTTCGTAATGCACCAGCAGATGGCTGCCAGTAGTTCTTGTTCAGTGTTGCTGTAGCGTGTTTTGGTGTCCGTTAGGACGCGGCTTGCATACTCAATAACCGCTGGTCCTGTGTCAGGGTGGATTTGCACTAGGATGGCCCCGAGGCCCATTGCTGAGGCATCTGCGTGTACTTCGATGGGGTACAAGCCGTCGTACCTTTCGAGACGGGGGGCGTCGGCAATGGCCTCCTTGAGCGGATGGAACACCGTTGTAGCCTCCTCCGTCCATTGGAGGGATGTTTGTGGTTTAGGCGGTATGATTTTCCGGAGGTGGGTTTCCGCGGATGCAAAGTTGATAGGTACATGCGCCCTCAAATAGGTTGCTAAACCGAGGAAGCGCTGCATTTCCTTTGTTGTACGTGGTTGAGGGTAGTCCCGAACAGCCTGTAGGTTTTGCTCCGCAGGTCGAGTGCCGGTGCGGTCCACAATGTGGCCTAGGAATTCGATTTGGCGTGCAAGGAAGGTGGACTTTGTGATGTCAATGGCCACCCCGGCCTTGTTGAGGGTGTTTAGTACTGCATCTAGGTTGATGTGCACCTCAATAAAGGTTCTCCCGTAGACGATGATGTCGTCAATGTATGCCATGCATTGCTGTGGGATGTGCTGCCGTAGTATTGTGTTGATGGCCTGTTGAAAAAGGGCTGGCCCGTTGCGTAAGCCAAATGGCAGGACTGCGTATTGCATCTGGCCCTTTGGTGTCCAGAACGCCGTTTTGTGTCGGTCTGGCTGCATGATGGGTAAGTGATGAAATGCGGCGTGCAGGTCAATGTTGCAGAAGTAGGCGTTGTCCCGGCCCAGCGCATCTAGTAGATCTTGAATGATGGGCATCGGGTAGTTGTCGGGGACCAGGATGTTGTTCAGTTTTCTGTAGTCCTCCACCAATCGCCATCGTTTGGCCGCCGGGGCTTCCGCGTCGGTACATTTTTTGGGCGTCAAAAATGCTGGTGAGTTGTAACTTGAGGCTGCCGGTTCAATGAGGCCCGCGTGCAGGTATTCCGTAATTATTTCAGTGAAGGGCCCCTGTTTGTCGGGGGCCTGTCGGAACGGTTGGGATGCCAGTGGCGTGGAGTCGGCCTTAATAAGGCTCACTGATTGTTCGGGAAAACAGCCTCTTCTCCCGGACCACTGGTGAATTGCCTTTGCGTGTTGTATAAGTAACTGACAAAGGTGTTTGCGCTCTGTTGGGCTCCCGTCAATGAAAATGATGCCATCTCCGATGGCCAGCGTAGGGTCTGCGTCAGGTTTGTAGTGTCCCTGGTAGCTGATGTATAGTTGGTTGCCTTCCAGCCCGATGGTGATTGGCATTTGGTCCAACATGTCGCGCCCCAAGATCAGGGAGAATCCGGCGTTTGGTAGGATCCACAGCTTGGCTTTGTACACTTTGTTTCTGATTTGGAGTTTGGTGGATGTGGTCCCGTCCAATACCAGGTTGTTGTTTTGTCCGGCCGTCGTGACCAACACTTGCTTGGCGGAGATGTCAAGTTGTAGTGCGGCGGCCCAGTCTGCGTCAATGAATGAATGTGAGGCCCCTGTATCGATGAGGGCGTTGCATGTTTGCCATTGGATGTGTACGGCCACGAGGATGGGTGCAGTGGTAGCAGTCTGTGTTTGCAGAGCGTAGAGGACCGCCTCTACTGCGCCTGCTTGGCGTTTCCCGGTTTCTGGCCGCATTCTTTTGCCGTGTGTCCTGTTTGGTTCCAGGATAGGCAGGTGGCATCCTTGTCTTCGGAAGCTGGCGACGCTAGTTTCAACGGGTACTCCTTCTTCTGATATGCTGGATGCTCCGTATGGTAGAAGCGTGAGCGGCAGGCGGTGTTGGCGTGTCCAGCCACCTTGTGCCAGTCACAGTAGTCGGTAGTCCCGCGGGATGTGCATGCGGGCTTGGGTTTGCTGTCACTG